GTGGGAGGTGTCCCTGCCCATGGCAGGGGAGTTGAAACGAGAAGCTCTTTAAGTTCCCTTCCCACCCAAACCATTCCAGGATTCTCCGTCCCGGCACCTCAGCCACAACAGGGGGTGGAACGAGACGGTCCCGAAGGTCCTTCCAACCCAAACCATTCCACGATCCCACCTCAGAACCTCATCCCAAAGGGATGAGGAGTGATGGGACAATACTGGAGCCCCACCTGTCTTGTTGGAGAGGCGGAAGGAGACCATCTTGTCCGGGATGCTGCAGACATTCCGCACGGACGCGATGCAGCTGTAGTTGGCGTAGTCCTGAGGGCGAAGGTTCTTCAGCTTCAGGATCTTTGTTTCTCCCTGGGAAAGGAGGAGGAGAGAGAGAGAATTAGGAAGGGAAAGAGGCAGAGGGACAAGGAGGGATGCAGGGAACACCCAAATTGGATGAGAGAAGGAAACTGGTTTGACGGAGTCGAGTCGCGGCGTTATTTGGGGTGATTTATTTTAATAAATGTTATTTAACATAAGTAAATAAAAATTAAAAATAAATTAAAAATAAAAGCTAAAAAGTAAAAATATAAAAAATAAAATAAAAAATACAAAAAATAAAAAAACATAAAAATAAAAATATAAATAAAAATAAAAATATTTAAAAAAACCAATAAATAACGAAATGGATTTAAAAAGTAAAAGATAAATAAAATAATATAAAGAAAATAAATAAAATAATAAATAGAATAAATAAATAATAAATAAATAAATATACTAATAATGTAATCAAAATAAAAATAATAAGAAGTAAAATAAATTAAAACTAACTAAATGGATTAAGGAAGTAAATGATAAATAAAACGACACAAATAAAAATAGGAAAATTATATAAAATAAATAAAATTATAAACTAATAAGCAAATAAGTAGAATGGTAAATAAATAAACTAAAAATGTAATAAAAATATAAATAAAATCATAAGAATTAAAATAAATTATAAATAACTAAATGGATTAAGGAAGTAAATGATAAATATAATAACATAAAAAAATATGAAATTGATATAAAGTAAATAAAATACTAAATGAATTAATAGAATGGTAAATGAAATAAAATCAAAAAATGGTACTTGGGATAATTTATTTTAATAAATACATTTAATAAAAATAAATAAATTAACTAAAAATGTAATAAAAATAGAAATAAAAATAATAAGAATTAAAATAGAATATAAACAACTAAATGGATTAATAAAAATATAAATAAAAATAATAAGAAATAAAATAAATAATAAATGACGAAATGGATTAAGGAAATAAATGATAAATAAAATTACATAAATAAAAATAAAAAATAATATAAAATAAAAAATAAACTAATAAATAGAATGGTAAATAAAATAAAATCAATAAAAATGGTATTTGGGATGATTAATTTTAATATATATTTAATAAAAATAAATAAATAGACTAAAAATGTAATAAAAATATAAATCAAATAAGAAGAATTAAAATAAATAATAAATAACTAAATGGATTAAAGAAGTAAATGATAAATAAAATTACATAAATAAAAATAGGAAAATATATAAAATAAATAAAATAATAATCTACTAAATAGAATGGTAAATAAAATAAAATCAATAAAAGTGGTATTTGGGATAATTTATTTTAATAAATATATTTATTAAGAATAAAAACCTGAAAATGTAATATATAAATAAAAATAATAAGAACTTAAATAAATGATAAATAACTAAATAGATTAAGGAAGTAAATGATAAATAAAATAACATAAATAACATAATAATTAAAAAAATAACGTAAAAATTATATAAATAAAACCAGAAAAAATTATATAAAATAAATAAAATAATAAAATAATAAGCAAATAAATAGGAGGGTAAATTAAATAAACTAAATTAAAATGGTAAATGAGTAAAAATATATAATGAAATAAATTAGAAATAATAAAAAATAAAAGGAAAGAAAGAAATAGATCAAGAGAAAGAGAGAGAGAAAGGCAGAAAGGGAGAAAGAAACAAAGAAAGAAAGGTAAATAAAATAAACAAAACATAAAAAATAAATTAAAATAAATTTAAGTATTTAATAAATAAATGTATTTCCACAGAGTTTGAGAAAATGTTTCTATGGAACTGGCAAGGAAAATAAATCCATGAAAAACAAGATAGAGATGAAGAGGCAAGAAAAAGAGTTCTTGGAATCAGGCCTCAGAGATGTTTGGAATATTGGAATTTCCACGTGCCATCAGTCCCACTGAAAAGATGGGATTAAAGTGAAGCCCCTGGGATTTAATGTTTGCTAGACCAGGCTTTGGAAAGGTTGATCCTAAAGGTGAAGATCCTGCTCTAGGAGGTTTATTTGGGATAGGGAATGGACTGATCCAGGGTCTGAAAGTTCTGGAAACACAGGGAAACATCCCAGCAATTCCCTCCTCAGCTCCGCTCTCCGAGTCCAACCCGTGGGCTGTGTTTGGAATATCGGAATTTCTACGGCTAATCAATCCCACTGGGATGATGGGATTAAAGCGACACCTGTGGGATTTAATGTTTGCTAGACCAGGCCTTGGAAAGGCTGATCCTAAAGGTGAAGATCCTGCTTTAAGGAGGTTTATTTGGGATAGGGAATGGCCTGATCCAGGCTCTGAAAGTTCTGGAAACACAGGGAAACATCCCAGCGATTCCCTCCTCGGCTCCGCTCTCCGAGTCCAACCCGTGGGCTGAGCTCACCATGGAATTCTGGATCACATCCCCAGATTGCAGAGATTTATAAAAAATGGATGTATTTTCTTCATTGCTTTGGGTAATTAGTCTAATTACGTCTAATTGCCTAATTATTGTAAATACAGCAAATTTAATCTCGCGCTCAGGCAATTACGACATGTGACGAGGAGGATGCAAACTAGGAGGGGAAAAAAAATCTGGGATTTGGGAAGTTTGGCATTTTCAACACTCCCACAGATGAGAACCTTCAGCTTTGCTCCGTGGCTGCTGAAATAAGGAGCTGATGTCTCCTGATCCAATGGAAAACTCGGTTCAAAGTTCAAGGATTACTTTGGAGGTGCCCAATTTTCCAGGTGCCCTCTGTGACTGAAGTGCCAACGGGATCCTGGGCTGATCCCCCAGCGTGGGGAGCAGGGCAGGGGGGGATTGTGTCCCTCTGCCCCCTCGGGTGAGACCCCCCCTGCAGAGCTGCTCCAGCCCTGGGAACAGCACAGGAAAGCTGGTTCCGTGCCCTCACCCCTGGAAATATTTACCAAAGCTGCCAATTGTTTGAGAGGGAGTTTTATTATTCCTGTCAGAGTTGAAGGATTTTTTATTCCTGGCTGAATCTCTGCCTTTTCTGGGGTGAAGGTTCACATGGGAGATGCTTTGCTGGCCAAACCTGGATGGCCCCTCATCCATCTGCTTAATCCTGGGAATCACCTGAGACAGAGCCCAGCCAGGGTGGAGCTTTGGAAGTGGCTTTGGGGCTGACAATGGATCCATTTAATCCTGACTCCTTCTGGCAGGGATGGATGGGCTGCATTAGGAATTCTGTCTAAATCTGTTGGATTTGAGGCCTGAGAAGCTCCCGTGTCTTCATTGGTTTGGGTGTTGGGAGGTGAGGGGAGATCCTGGTCCTGTGTCACCTCAGGTGAGACCCCCCTGCAGAGCTGCTCCAGCCCTGGGAACAGCACAGGGAGGACCTGGAGCTGCTGGAGAGAGTCCAGAGGAGCCATGGGATCCTCCAAGGGTGGAGCCCCTCTGCTCTGGAGCCAGGCTGGAAGAGCTGGGGGGGTTCCCCTGGAGAAGAGAAGGCTCCAGGGAGAGCTGAGAGCCCCTTGCAGGGCCTAAAGGGGCTCCAGGAGAGCTGGAGAGGGACTGGGGACAAGGGATGGAGGGACAGGACACAGGGAATGGTTTCCCACTGCCAGAGGGCAGGGAGAGATGGGATACTGGGAAGGAATTCCTGGCTGGGAGGGTGGGGAGGGACTGGAATAGAATTCCCAGAGAAGCTGTGGCTGCCCCTGGATCCCTGGAAGTGTTCAAGGCCAGGTTGGATCAGCCTGGGCTGGTGGAAGGTGTCTGGGGTGGAACTGGATGAGCTTTAAGGTCCCTTCCCACCCAAACCATTCTGGGATTTTTTGCCATAACTAAAACAAGAAAACCATCAGAAATAACAGATATCCCTTTTCTGGGGGTAAAAACCTGAGAAATTTTGAGTCACAACTTGTTTCCTTTTCCACTTCCCCTGATTTTCAGCTCATAATCCACCTTTAAACCACTCCACAAGAAAATTCCATCCCAAATTTGTCTCTCTCGGTCCCTCTTCACATCAGCCCTCACGATTTGCAACCCTCTCATTAGCTGAGCTAATTAGGCAGAAGATGCTGACGACTCTTGACCCTTTAATTACATCTTTTCCCTCTTATAAACATGGAGCAGATTTTGTCAGGACACACTAATTCAGTCTGACCTCCAAGAAATAAATAAAGGTCATGGAGAAGCTTTTAACTGTCAACAGGATATGTTTTTTATTCATTAATTAAATTTATTCATTCATTTGATTTATTTATTCATTTATTAAAAGTGATTTATTCATTAATTAAACCCACTCAAGAGATTTTAGGAAGGATGATCCAAATAACCTGGAAATATTAAAAAAAAAAATCTAATTTGTCTAATTTTGTGTGACACATTTTCATTAGAGAAATTCTTAGATTTTTAGGGAACACAATAATCAGCATAAATATAAACCAAAAAAGTCCCCTGCCCAGAGAGACTCTCATTTTTTAATTAAAAAATTTAAAAACAACACTTTAGGCACTCGAGCCCGAGCAAACAAGCCACAGATTTGCTAAACTGGGTTTAAATGAAAACGGTTAATAAAATAAATAAAAATATATCATGAAATAAATTAGAAATAATAAAAAATAAAATAAAAGAAAGAGAGAAAGAAAGAAAGAAAGAAAGACATAAAGAAAGACAGATAGAAAGAAAGAGGTAAATAAAATAAAATAATAAAAAATAAAAAATAAATTAATCTCATGAAATTAAAAATAATCTCTTTAGGCCGAGCAGATCAATAACTCTGTAATCTAATTTTCAGCTCTGCAAGGAGGCTCCAGCTCTGCTTTTCTCAGGGAAAATATGGAGCAATAAAAAGCTGTCGAGCACAATAAAAGGGAAAAAAAATGAAGGTGTTCTCCAATCATCAGCTGAAAATTATTTCTGAAAGTCATAGGTTGCTTTCTGCTCTGAACACTGAATTATCAGGCACTTTTCACCCCCTTCTTTACTTGTTATTGCTTGAGATTGTTCCAAAACAATTTTTCTCCTTTTTTTTTTTTTAATATATTTTTTTTTACTTTTTTTTTTTACTTTTTTTTTTTACATTTTTTTCTTTTTTACCAACACCATCCCACACTTTTGGGATCTGTCACCTTTTTATTCTGGTGCTGTGCTAAAATTCTGTGTTAAAAATGAATTAATCTCATTTAGGCTGATGGAGCCCAGACTGCTTTCCTGGCTGTGAGTGGGAGTGGGAAGGCTTTAAAGATGCGTTTATTCCCCTTTTTTTTTTTTGCCACCTCCCCTTTCAGGTGTGGAATTTTGGCACAAAAAATTTCTATTTAAAGACAAGAAAAGCAGAAAAAAAGAATAAAAGAACCCACCATGGGCAGTTGCCAAAGAATTTGGAATCCTGGAATGGTTGAGGGTGGAAAAGACCTTGAAGATCATCAACTAAACCCCACTAAAATATGTTCCCAAGAGCCACATCCACGGATTTTTTGAGTATTTCCAGGGATGGAGAGTCCACCACTGGTTTCCTGGGCAGCCTGTTCCAATGTTTTCCAACTCTTCCCAAGAAAAATATTTCATATGAACCTCCCCTGGCCTTCACCAAGAGCTTTTTAGGCAGCGACTTGTGTGTGGAATGCCCGTGTTGGATTGGGAAGGATGGGGAAACAGGAGTCAACTCAGAGCTCTGGGCTTGCAGCAGCCAGGAAAAATCACTTTAAAAGGCCTCTCCCGATAGAGATATCCTCCCAAAACTTCTTATTTTACAATTTTACCAAAAAAAAAGTGTTTTACAAAATAATAAAGCCATAATTTATATCAGGAAGTCTTTTAACAACAACCGGGCGCATTCGCTCGGGACGTCATTACTTCGAGGGCATCCCCCACATTGCCACCCCCAGAAATCAGGCAAGGATCCTTTTCCAGAGGCTAAAGAAGGTCAAAATTCCCTCCTGGGATTCCTACCTGGGTAAAGAAGGGCTCGTAGATCTCCACTCCCTTGTCGGAGCCCTGCAGCAGCACCTCCTGCCCGCGGCGCCAGCTGTACCGCACCGGTGGGTTGGAGTTGGCCACGCACCTGAGGAACACGGTTTTCTCATAGTAAAACTGCTCCTTGGCCTCCCCAATGCTCTGGTGGACTGTCACTATGGGATCATCCAAATCTGGGAAGAGACAGGAAGACAAAGCAAGAGAAAGTCAGGCTTCGGTTGAGTCGACGACAGGAAGATCGTGCGTCGCGTTATATACAAGTCAAGAGCAAAACAGAGGAAAAACAGCTCCAGGAGCCACAAATTCTAGAGATTTTGCACCAAAATTCAGGTTTGGAGCTTGTTTTCATGTAGAGTTTTAAATTTAATTTCATTTTCTTTCAGGAAGACAAAGCAAGATAAAATCAGGCTTTAGTTGAGTCTACGACAGGAAGATCGTGCATCGAATTATATACAAGTCAAGAGCAAACAGAGGCAACACAGCTCCAGGAGCCACAAATTGTAGGGATTTTGCTGCAAAATTCAGTTTTGGAGCTTGTTTTTATGTGAAGTTTAAATTTCATTTCATTTTCTTTCAGGAAGAAAAAGCAAGATAAAGTCAGGCTTTAGTTGAGTTTATGACATGAACTGTGTGCATCACATCGTACAGAAGTCAACAGCAAAACAGAGGAAAAACAGCTCCATGAGCCATGAATTGTAGGGATTTTGCAGCAAAATTCAGTTTTGGAGTGTGTTTCATGTAGGCTTTTAAATTTCATCTGATTTTCTTTCAGGAAGACAAAGCAAGATAAAATCAGGCTTTAGTTGAGTCTATGACAAGAAGCACATGCATTGCATTATATACAAGTCAAGAGCAAACAGAGGCAACACAGATTTTAGGGATTTTGCAGCAAAATTCAGGTTTAGAGCTTGTTTTCACGTGGAGTTTAAATTTAATCTGATTTTCTTTCAGGAAGACAAAGCAAGATAAAATCAGGCTTCGTCGAGTCTCCGACGGGACGCGCACGTACAAAAATCAAGAGCAAAACAGAGGCAGCACAGCCACAGATTTTATGGATTTCGCAGCCAAATTCAGTTTTGGAGCCTGTTTTAATTTGGAGTCCTAAACTCCCTTTCCTTAGAATTTTAAACTCCATTTTAAACCCCCTTTAAAACTCCCTTGGAACGGAGCTGCATTTCCAACTCATGCTTTTTAGACACAATAACATCTCCGATATCAACGCAGGATAATGCCAATCATATTTTTATTATGCTCCCATTACTCCTTTGCTTTCAGCTGGTTTTTTCAGCTTTACTACTCGTTTCTTTTATGCCTTTCAGATGAAATTATGAAGCTTTTTGGAAATAAATAGACAGCCTGATTTGCATCCTAATGGCAGGAGCCACCAGCGCACCGATCACGGGCACGCAGCTGTTTTTCCCTTCAGAGCCGCAATTTAATCCAGCAATTTGATGCACTTTCCCTTCTTTTAGTTACAGGCATTTAACTTCCAGCAAGGTAAATTCATCACAGGCTTTAGAACACACTCCTCTTGATTAAAAGACAGATATCATATAATTATTCCCGCTGCAGCAGCTCCGAGGAAACGAGAGCCCCCGCGCGGAATTCAAGGATGGAGAGGGAAGGAACAAGGATTCCTTGGAATGTGAGTGCTCTAAGGTAATTAATTTGGGTTTTACTCCACCAGGAGTGAGTAGACTCCTGTTAGCTGGGAGGTTGTTTTGAGTTTTGTCAGAAGGAACAGTCACATTAAGGATGGAAAATTAAACACAACCAGGGAAGCAATGGATGTTTTTCCTAAATATTGGTTGAAAACACCCAACCTCCGAATGACCACCCAATTCCTTCCCAATATTCCATCTCTCCCTGCCCTCTGGCAGTTTGAAGCCACTCCCTGTGTCCTGTCCCTCCATGCCTTGACCCAGCCCCTCTCCAGCTCTCCTGGAGCCCCTTTAGGCCCTGCAAGGGGCTCTCAGCTCTCCCTGGAGCCTTCTCTCCTCCAGGGGAACCCCCCCAGCTCTCCCAGCCATTCCCACATCCAATCTGGGCATTTTCCCATTCCCTCCTGGATGATGTGCCCACACAGAGCTGGGAAGCTCTTCCAGCCCAAACTGCTCAGCAGCCTCAGATCAGTTTGGGGGACACCATTCCCTGCTCTCCAGCTTCCCAAACATTTCCTCTGCTGCCACCTTGGATCTCCTCAGGCCACAAATCCCCATGATCCAACTGTCCAGCCAAAGAATTCGATGGGATATAGGGAAGGAATTCCTGGCTGGGAGGATGGGGAGGCCCTGGAATAGAATTCCCAGAGAAGCTGGGACTCCAGCCCTTGGAGCACCTTTGTGGCCTCCTCTGGAATCCTTCCAACAGCTCCTTCTTTTACGGGGGCCCCAGAGCTGGATGCAGCATTCCAGGTGGGATCTCCAAGCACCACATTCCCACTCAGCCTTGACTGAAATCACCTCAGAGCCTTTTTCCCCTAAAATTTCAATGGTGTTTCGAGTAGGACTGATTTAATCACTCACCACAAATTTAACCCTGGCTTTGCAAAGTCTGGTGTGAGTCATAAATGAGAGGACAATTCCCCCCTTTTTTTGAGGCCACAATCCAGGGAAATGCAGAATGAGGCGCTCCAGTCTTCATGTGACAAAGGGAACCCACACACCCAAGTCCTTCTTCAAAGGTGGGGAATCATGGAATCCCAGAATTGATTGGAAAGGCCCTCCAAGGTCACCCAGCCCAACCATCAACCCACCACCTCCAAACCATGTCCCCAAGTGCCACATCCACAGGTTTTTTGAACACTCCCAGTGACTCGACCACTGCCTGTTCCAACACTTAACAACCCTTTCCATGGAGAAATTTCCCTGATATCCAACCTAAACCTCTCCTGGTGGAACTTGAGGCCCTTTCCTCTCATCCCTGAGAACAAGGACAGTGGTTTTTAGGGGGAGCATCACGTGCATTTTGCTCCAACCCTGCTGGAACCCCCCACAGGGTGTTGTGTGAGGTGTCCATGAGTGCAGCAGCTCTCACAAAATCTGGGATTTTGTCCCTTCCCAAGAACTGTGAGCCCCATGGGCTGAAGGGAAAACCACTGTTAACAAACTGAACAGCTTGGAATTCATCAGCACCCCCCCCCAGCGAAAAGCAGTTTGCACCTAAAAAATTAGTCTTCAGCTGCTCCACTTGCATTTGCATAACAAGAGCGAAGCCTCTTGATTAATTAGAAGCAAAACATGTTCCAGAATTTGCAATAATTGAAGCAATGATACCTCGTAATGGGGGCACAGATTTTAAGTAAATGTTACCCTCGTCCTACCCGACGAAACATTTAATTTAATGTCACGGGAGCAAACTGTGGAACCGGTGCTCCAAATGAGGTTGGCATTTCCTAATGAGATCTCAGTGTTGGTTTAAAGGTTATTTGAAATCCCAGCAGCATTTGGAAAGGAGGAAATAAAAAGGAGCGGATGAACCGGCGGCGATTTTTAGGGCAAAACACCCATTTCCCTGAGTTTTGATGGGAAAAGAAGGTTTCCCACAGGAAGGATTTCCAAGCAGACATCACCAAGTCCAGGGATCACTTCTCCCATCTCTCCCTCTGAGCTGATGGTGGGAAATACTCAAGAGGGCTTTGCTCAGCTTTGGCCACAACAACCCCCGGCAGCTCCAGGCTGGGCCAGAGGGGCTGGAGAGCAGCCAGGCAGGAAGGGAGCTGGGAGTGGGGATGGACAGGAAGCTGAACAGGAGCCAGAGTGTGCCCAGGGGGACAAGAGGGCCAATGGATCCTGGCCTGGCTCAGGAACAGGGCGGCCAACAGGTCCAGGCAAGTGATTCCTGCCCTGGACTCAGCGCTGGGGAGGCCACCCCTGGAGTGCTGTGTCCAGTTCTGGGCCCTCAGCTCAGGAAGGACATGGAGGGGCTGGAGCAGGTGCAGAGGAGAGCAACGAGGCTGGGGAAGGGACTGGAGCACAAGTGCTGTGAGGAGAGGCTGAGGGAGCTGGGGGGGCTCAGCCTGGAGAAGAGGAGGCTCAGGGGAGACCTCCTCACTCTCTGCAACTCCCTGACAGGAGGGGGGAGCCGAGGGGGATTGGTCTCTTTTCCCAGGCAACTCTCAGCAAGACAAGAGGGCTCGGTCTTCAGCTGTGCCAGGGGAGGGTTTGGTTGGAGATTAGGAAGAATTTCTTTGCAGAGAGGGTGCTCAGCCCTTGGAATGGGCTGCCCAGGGAAGGGGTGGATTCTCCATCCCTGGAGGTGTTTAAGGACAGACTGGATGTGGCATCAGTGCCATGGGCTGGGAACCACGGCGGGGTTGGATCAAGGGTTGGACTGGATGATCTCGGAGGTCCCTTCCAACCCAGCTGATTCTGTGATTCTATGATAAAATTAGACACAGCAAAATCCCTCAAAACCTAAAACCGGGCCTAAAGGGGAGCTCGCCAAGGGGTATCGTCAGATTCCAAATTTTGGATATGAGGAAAGAAACTGCCAGGTTTAAACAGAAAAACCTCAAGTCCCAGAAGCTGGGGAAAAAACCTCTGTTTGAGGGACAGGCCAGATGTCACTTGTTTGGGATGCTCTGCCAAGGAACAGTGAGAGGGTGCTCTGATGTTATCAGATCTCTGCATAAACCCATTGTGTTCTTCCCTTTTGCATGTCTATACTCTGTAACCTGTTGCATTCAATACCTAATCCCCCTGTAAAATCCTCCAAGATAAAATAGGGTTTTTTCCTATGATGTAAGTGCTAAGACCCAAAATTTGTCATTTAGGATGCCACCCTTGGAGACACTCAAAGTTGGACTGGACACAGCCCTGAGCAACCTGAGCTAACCTGAGGCTGGCCCTGGTGTGTGCAGGGGTTGGAGAGCAGGTCCTGTCAGATTAATTTACTCCAAATTACTCCAGAATTCCACAAGCTGGGATGGCACCTCTGGTTTGTGCCTCTTGCAACAGGTCCATGCTGGATCACAGAACCATGGAATCATGGAATGGTTTGGGTTGGAAGGGATACTAAGGATCAACCAATTCCACCCCCTGCCATGGGCAGAGACAGTTTCCACCAGCCCAGGTTGCTCCAGCCTGGCCTTGGACACTTCCAGGGATCCAGGGGCAGCCACAGCTTCTCTGGGTAACCTGAGACAGGGCCTCCCCACCCTCCCAGCTAGCAA